TTAGACTCTTGGCACTCTTAGGTGAGCAGACTTAGTCAGCCTGTGTTGCCCTAACATCCTCAGAGACTGGGTGGAAGCAGAGGGAATCACAGGGTGCAGAACCCTGCACAATTGGTACCAGTGCCAGAACACAACCTGTTCTGTCTCAGGGAAATATTCCGTGACATTCCTGTTGAGGGTCAGCATGCTGAATCAAGCAGGTCAAAGTCCAAGCAAGGTATCATCCAGTACAGCCATGAGCTGGTGTGACATCCATCATCCCTGTCTCAGAACTCACTGCTGTTCCTGCATTCCAACCCACTGAGCTCTGCTGGCAAACATCCTTATCATCTGCAGCAATTCTACAAAGCAACAAGGCCAAGAAAGAGGTGCATGTGTGGACTGGCACAGAACCAGTTCCAGTTTGTTGGGGTCAGGCTGGGAGGGACACAAACATGTAGGATATGGAAAGGTAAGAGCATCACTTTCAAATGTAAGCTCCCCAAATGCTTTTGGACAGGATTGTGTGGCTCATAGAGTGCAACAATGATGTGATTTTCAGTGTGTACAATGTTAATTAAATCACAAGTATTTGTCCCTCTGAAGCTAAAGCCAAGTACAAGTGCAAGTGACAACATCCTTGAACAACTGACCCAAGCAGTTGAAGTGCCTGATCTGGTTGTGCAGACAGTCATTGGTGCACCAGTAGAATGTTGATGCAGCATGGTGTGTGTTCACAAAGCTGGACAACTAACCTGTGAGGGCACACTATAATCGACAGAGGCTGCCCAAGTCAAGTGGAGAGAGGAAGTTGTCATCAAGGGGTGGGGGATAAGGTGCTGATGAGGTGACAGAGGTATATTCTGCAGAGTACTATCCCTATTGAAGTACAGTGGAGATTCCTCAGAGACCAGATCTGAGGATATCATCATCTAAACAGGTGGGTATTTATACTAAAGAAAAGGAGGAAAACAACTAGTCATAGTGAGTTGTGGCCAGTCATCTCTGGCCAGTCATGGCAAGTCATAGGCCTTGTTGCTATGAGTTGCTGGCTGGTGGCTAGTCATCAGCTGTCATGCTGTGCAATGCCACATGGTCCTACCACAGCCAGTCCACAGGCCACACGGCACTGGCATAGCCGGTGTCAGATTGACACAGCATGAATAATCATGCCTGAGTAAGATGTAGTCAAAGCGAATTAGATGTCCCCTGACATAACTCACATTCCTGCTGGTAAGAACTGGGGCAGCTCAGGCAGCTCCAGGATGCATTCTGCTGGCATTGTCAGCAAATATAGAGAGATTCAGGCAGATTCACTCACATGATAGGATTCCTGCACAAGATGTTCAGGGTTGAAGCACCTCTTCTGGCAACACCACCAGGCCACATTCAGATGAGGGTTGTGAACTTGTGTGGCATCACCTTTCATCCAGGCAATAACACCCAACTGGAAGTCTTGTACAGTGCCATTGAATTCTCAAGTGAAGGCAATTCTGGACAGCCAAATCTGTCACAGGTGCCAGTGAAGAGCATGCAGTTCATCAAATTCATCTTGCAATCATCCTTGCTGGTGCTTGTCAGCTTGCATTGACCTGCTGTGAGAAGTTGCTTACTGCCAAAGATATATTTGTGTGAGCCAACCATATGTCAGCTTGTTGTATGGTGATACACTTGAGGGTTGGCAAAAGGTGGATCTGCAACAAGAGGTTAGGCAACAGGAATCATGCTGGCCATTGGATGATGGCAATAACATCCTCAGCAGCCTGCTTTTTATAAGATGAAGAACACCCTATACCCACAGGGAACATACATGCTCACATTGATGTCTCTCAATGGTCTGTGTCACATTATTTATGGAAGTTTTTCAGAAGGATAGCCCGAAGATATGAATTTGATGGTCATGTGGACACAGATCAGCTCGCTTCCAGCAATATTCAAGGGAGATGAGGGCCAGGCCAAAATAGATAATACTCTCGATTTGATGGAGATCTTCCAGTCCATGTCAGCCATATGGACTGGGCACCACAACAGCAAACAGGGCGCATCAGGTGTCTGGCCTTGACACATGCACTTAGCACTTAGCCGTGAGTTCCTTCTCCTTAGGAGTGACATGATTGGAGTCGTCCAGCTGATCAGGGAGGGCCCAGATGGTGATAAACCCCAGAATGAAGGAGGGTAACCCTTCAATGAGAAAGAGGATCTTCCAAGCATGGATATTGGAGTCTTGGATATGCTGGACACCAAAAGCTGTGGACTCTATCAGATTGTCATCTTCAGAGGTAATGTGGATCCTACCAATCAAAACACCGAAGGCACCAGCAACAGAGGTGCACACAAACGATATGGCAAGCTCCTTTGCGATCTCACGATGGGTGTAGAATAGTGCTGAGATAGTATGAGAACAGGAGAGCGGAGGATGCTTGTCCATTCCTAGCTAAACACCATCCAATGGCAAAGAGTACCGTACGACACTACTCAGTCCTCACGTGCACAGACGGGGAACGTGGAGCAGGCTCAACATCAAATCCCCCCTGGCCAAGATCCGCAGGGAGCGCAGCAGTATCCCTCAACACTTGCTCGCTCAACAGCCCTCTCTCTTCCTCTCTCTCCTCTTCTCCTAGCGCTTCTTCTGCACCTTCGATAGGTGGGACGACGGTATGCGGCCGGAGGAAGGATGGCGGGGAAACGAGGTTGTTGAATAGGAAGGTGCCGTATACCAGCAGAGCGAAGCCTGTTACTTGGAGGATCGACCATGGGTACGTTAGGTGTTCCCACCCAAGGCCGAGGGAGACAAGCCTGCACCGAGTCAGTACACATACCCGGGACTGACGAACAGAGACAGAAGCAGATAACACAGGAAGACTCACCAGATCCCCAGAGTACGGCACGTATCCGTCGTACTCCTCGCCGTAGCGCTCACGTGCCTTGTCACGCTCAACCCGAAAAAGTTAAATAGCGCAATACTCAGCGCGATCGCGACGCTGCCCCGTATCACCGGCTGGGAATGGATGATCTGGTCCCACCCACGCGGGAAGTCGAAAAAGGGGGAATGGGAGGCGAACAGGGAGAGAATGGGCATAGCAGCTAGAGTCGTCAGTGTGCCGAAGAGCCCTTCCATCCCGACTGCGAGTAGAGGACCGACGGAATATCGCTCCATTATCTTCTCTTCTACGACGAACTGGCATGCGGTGCTGCAGGTCAGGTCAGCTAGCGCGGGTGAAGTGACGGACTGGGACTGACAAGATCTGCGCAAAGAGCACAAAGAGCACTCCAACCGCTACAGCTGTAGCGGGCTTCTCCTCCCTCTCCGCGCGAACCTTGACCAACCACCGCGCTACGACCCTGATGGCCTCGCCCACTTCCTCAGGCTTTTGCGGTATGATACCCCTCTCCTTGGCCAGACTACCCGCGACGCCAACGACGCACACCCCGCCCATGACTGTCATTAGCGCGAGCCATTGGTAGATCCACAACCGGCGGCGGAGGAAGAGGACGCTGAATAGGCCTACCCAGAGGACGAGCGCACCCCGCGTCATTTGGTAGATCGATACTGGCGTGTACAGCAAGCCGACATTCATCAACTACCGCATCCGGATCAGAAAGTCAAGGGAGAAGGCGAGGGAGAGAAGGACGCACAGTCGTTCCGCAGATATCGAAAAACGCGGGAAAGAAAAGCAAGCATAGCGTCCACCCCGTCATAGGCTTCGCTTTCTCCACCCTGACCCCATCCGCATCTGCATCCACATTCCCGTTCTGGGCGACCTCCTGCCCATCCACCTCCTCCGGCAGTCCGGACTCTTCCAGCCTAATATGTCTCCTCGAAAGCAGGTACTGCGCGAGAACGGGAAGGAAACATAGCATCTCCCCGACGAACATCTGCAGTGTTTGCCATACGGGCTGCTCGAAGAGAACCATTGGCCTGTTATCCGCAGGAGTGCATCCTTCGACGCAGATCATATCCTGCCATTTGCTGAGGAGGGAATTGGAGCATCCTGTGAGTGGTTGGTGTGCGACCGAAGGGGCTGATTGCGCGTGTAGCGTACCTGTTAAGAGCATGCCTGCTACGAGGAAAGGGATGTAGGATGGTTGAAGCATCTTCTCCTCCCAGATGTGTACAATAAAGCAGCAATAATAGTGTAATATGAGGTGGTGGTCGTAGAGGAGAAGAGAGTAGGTGTTGGGCGTACGCAACCCCTTGTTCTCCTGTTATGGTTGGGTGATCTTAATGCAGTTAAGTGGCAGTGTATTATGTAAAATGATGACTCGGAAACGCGGAGTGAAGCACGCTGCTTCTGCCGCAGCTGCGGTTGGAAACGTCTTACTTCGAACTTGGGAAAGGGAACTGTCGTATTGAGGTTTAGTCATGCGGAAGGTCGTGGGAGGAGAATGAGGACAAGAAGCCGTCGCCGGACTGTACCCTATATATGGGCCAGGAAGAAACCAACTCCCGAAGATAAGCACGACGCCCATCTAGTTCCAAGGAAGAATCCGCCCAATACGTACCTAATGGAGACATGGTGATACCTCGCCACCCCAGTGTAGATGAATAATTGTAATCACTACCCTTTGGTCATTAAAATTAATCTTCTGGCGACGGGATCACATGCCCGGTCCGGGGAGTACACATGCTCTTCCTACAATGGATTCGATGGCGAGCGGTAGTGTTCGGTTATAGTTACGCCCACGGGAATTTCATGTTGTACGCAAGTGTATTCAGTAACATTAATGATATTGACATCGGGGAGTGAAAGGCATTTGAGTGGGGAAAGGGGGGTGCTAGCAGACGCTGTTCGACCCCCTTGTTTTTGCAGCCCATTCCACTATGGCTACAGTCGAAGTCCTGAAGCCAAGCACAGCGTACGACCCTGCGCAGGTCAACGCACACCGAGAATACCACAAAGCCCAGACGCCCTACTTCTTCCCTGTTCGTCCCTTCCCACCCCCTGCTGCCTCCTATAGCGCTCTAACCCCCACCAGGCAGGAACAGACGAAGCAGAATGGGACCGGCTCAACGCCCAGCACTATGGTATCAAAGCGTACTTCAAGGGGAATAGGCATGGTGCCCGCTGGCCGAAGACGCCGAGGCGGATCCTCGAGCTAGGCGTGGGAACAGGAGCGTGGGCGACCGAGGTTGCCGCTGAGTTCCCCAAGGCGCAGGTCGTGGGTGTTGATGTTGTCCAGCCGCGTTTGGGGTGAGGATTTGTGTAAGCGTGCAGATATTCGTTTGACGTGCGACAGGAAAACCCCTCAAAATTTTACATTTGTCTCCATGAACGTCCTTGATGATGTCTGGCCCTTCGAGCCGGGGTCATTTGACGTCGTCAACTGCCGATTCCTCTTGATGCACATGCCAAACTTCGAGCGTGTGCTTAACAAAGCCATCGACGTGACCGCGCCAGGGGGGATCCTGATGCTCGCCGATCCTGCATCTCGTTTCCAGGCCGAAGGCAGGCCTGTTCCGCCAGAGGCATCAAAGTTGTACGACGTCTACTGGGGTTACTGCAAGACCCAAGGAATCGTTCCTGGCACAGGACCGTTGTTCGCCCCCCTGCTCGCGGCAAGCAAGAAATTCAGCGAGGTGCACGAGCTCGTCCTCCCGGCTTGTATGGGCCCTTGGCCAAAGAACGAACGGCTCCACCCGTTTGGAGAAGGCATGCGCAAGGGGATCATCGATGGTGCCAGGTCGCTAAATTCGAAGGTATTCGAGTTTGGCCTGACGGGGGAGATCGTGGAGGGCATGGTGAGGCAGGTGCTGGATCCGGAGAATAGGCTGTATGTTGATGAGTACTTTGTCTGGGCGAGGAAGAAGCAAGAGGGCTTGTAAAGAGCGGCAATGTGATGGATCGACGCACTGGATGCGTGATTGTTTCTCAGGAGGGAAGTTCTTCGTGCTCTTGCCCTTGTATCATCTTGTAGGCTGGCCAATCCGAGATCGACTGTCTTATGCGAGCGACCGGAGACTAAAATTCCATATCATTACGTCCAACATCTCTGAATATCATACCGCTAATTGTTCCTGGTTCGGAGGTGGCCTCTCGAGGCCATCCTTCACCCGTCGGCTCTCCTTCAACTCCGCCCTCTCTCTCTCGTTCTCCTTCGCCAGCTCTACCTCCGCCTCCGTCACCTCCGGGATACCTCCCACGGCTCCAAAATTCAACACTTTCATGTTGTGTGTCCACTGTCTTGTCAGATGGAGTTGTTGTTCCCGGGGAGATATACTCTTCTTTTGGGAGCTAGGGGACGTAGAATTGGCCGCGTCGAGTGCTTCTAGGCGGGCAGGTGAAGGACAGGGAAAGGAGGGGGTTGGAGCGTAGTCAGACGTTGGGTTCCACGGTCTGGGAGCGGCAGGCACGATCCCTCCCTATTATTGGGCATGCATGTTAGCGAAGACGGATAGAGGGACTGAACCACTCACCCTCTCAAGCAAAGCCAGCACCGTATCACTCGGCTGCGCACCCACACCTAGCCAATACCGGATCCGCTCCACGCTCCACTCCACCGTTTTCTCCTTTGTCAACGGGTTTGAGCGAGGGTCATACATCCCCAGCGTCTCGATAGGCTTTGCGTTGCGCGCTTTGCTTGCGTGTGCGGCGACGATATGGAAGATCCGTGAGTTGCGGGTGCCGTGCATCGCGAGACGTAGCCGGACAGGCATTGATGATAACTGGAGAGGTGGGCGGTATGAGGTTCGTGAGGTGGGAGGGGAAATGAGGCTATTAGAGGAGGGAGGGAGAAGGTCGAGGAGGTCGAGGAGATGGTCGTGTGCGAGAGGGATTTTCTTTTCGCGACTTGCACCCTGACATCAAACTTCATCTCCAGTCAACATGCATTCAACCGCAAATAACCATACTGACTTGAATGGATTCTATGTGATGGGAAACGTCATTCCCTTCCCGTTCTTTTAAAGCTCACCTGCTGGATGCAATACACAAATGGCTTGGACTTCCTTCTGTCAAGGGTGGGCCTGTCGCCCCCATCTCGCAGAGATCGAGTATATCCTCTGGAATGCGGACCACGTTGGATGGGGTAGTTCTCGATGAATGGATCGCAAGAATGGAACTGGTGGTAAAGCCCGAGAATGTGCGTCATCCTTTCTCAGCAAGTCACCCTGCTCGATGAATTGAGTTCCCAGTAGAACCAACCAGCCATCCACCTGGTACCCGCCCCACATTTTTCTCAACAAGTTGTCTAGGAACCGTATGGGTGCACCTCCGACTCTTATGCATGCAAAGCCTTGGCAGAGTGACTTTGAGGATGTTGCTCTAATGCTTTAGCACTAAACAGCCTGTTGTGCTGCCCATCGGGCTGATGGCCGGATTTTACCTCAGCAACGAAGGCCCCAAACAGCAATGCCCCACGGGAGACCCATGTCTGAATAGCCTCGCATTTAATCAGATGCATCATGGCTAGCGTTCGAGAAATCCCCTTCCTATGGAGCGACTCTTTTTAGTCTTCCTTTCTTGCTTCAGGATTGTCGGTCATACAACTTGTGACCCATTCAGTGACTTCAGAAGTTTTTCAAGGATTGCCATGTATCCTCCTCCTGGTCCTCAAGGAGCACCCATCTATATATGTCGCTTGGTCCTCCACTCAAATGACCCAACGCGAAAGAATTGCCTTAATCTCCTACCTCAATCTGGACTAGGGCCACTATTCCTCAATGGCCTCTTCTCAGGACAACTCGCGCCTATCAGACAAATTACCTGACGAAAAAAAGAAGCTGTCAACTGGGATAGGCAGTATCATGATACCAATGAACCATATTCCCTCCCAGTGAGTAATGGTCTCATACTTCGATGATGAATCCCACTTATTCCGTTCCTCAGACAGGGATAGATGAACGCTCAGAGCGGCGGCTGAACGCTCAGCATTACGGCATCAAAGACTTCTTTGGTGTAAACAACTGTGGTGCTCCTTGGCCTACGCATCCGAAGCCGATCCTCGAGATCGGTTCTGGGAACGGCGTGTGGGCAAGGGAGGTCTGCGAACAGCTCCCAGAGGCAGAGGTCGTCGGGGTGGATATCGTTGACGGACTGAGGTGAACTTGCAAGTGACTACGGAGTGGACATACATGTTGACCTGACCTCTGATATACAATGTAGGTCTAAGCCTCCAAACTTCACATTTCGGCTCCTTAATCTCGTCAAAGACCCTTGGCCCTTCTCGCCTGGTTCTTTCGACATTGTCCACTGCCGATATGTTACCATGCATATCCCAAACTGCAAGCAATTGCTCGACAATGCCATTGAAGCAACCGCACCAGGAGGCATCCTCATGTTCGAAGATCAAGACCAGCAACTGCGAGCGGAGGGCAAGCCTGTATCATATCCAGCCGTTCTCGCTTTCACCATATTTCGCGGGTACTGCGAATCATGCGGTGTCAATCCTCGTCCCGGTGCGCTATTAGCACCTATGATTATTGCCAGTGGACAGTTCTCCGAGACGCACGAGACGATCGTTCCGGCACCTATGGGCCCCTGGACTGAAGATAAAAAGCTGCACGTCATCGGAGAAGGCATGCGGACTGGAATAATCGAAGCCGCCCGAGCGTTTAGTCCAAAGGTGTACGAGTTTGGTATGACCAAAAGCATCGTCGAAGGAATGGTCAGAGAATTGGAGAACCCGGAGAACAAGATATACGCGAACGAGTACCTCGTCTGGGCAAGGAAAAAGCCCGATCATCTGTAGAAAGGTTTGAAATTGTACAAGATCATACATTTTACAGTTGCATTCCAAAATAGTGAATCGTCAAGCCAACAAACAAGATTGTCCATATAGAGGAAACTGTAAGGTCTGAATACCCGAGGTATCACCGGTACCGGGGTTCCGTAATTATTAATTAATCGGCTGCGGATCGGATCATCTCCGCCGTCTGGACCTCATTCATTCCTTTCACAGGCGTTTCTATCATTTGAGCTTTCAACGAGATCGTATCTCCGCATGTCTGCTTCCCTATTAAACATGCCTTTGCGGATGAGGTGGAGCTGAGTCAGGCGGACAGCCTCAAATGCAACCAAATGTATAGCCTGTCATCTGCAAAATGATCGCCAAGGCATCTCGACGTCTCAAAGTTTTAAGGAGTAGAGCCACGTTCAGAAGTCGCTTGCACCAATCAAGTGTCTGGACAACGAGTTCTATGGTGGCATTCTCATAGTGCGGTCTTGCGGCTTATCGGCAGTGGCGTCGACTATATATGTGCCAAGTAGAAGGACCGAACCGGACAACAGATTCACCATCTAGTCTTTACAGCCCCTTCTCTCCTCTATGGCAGTAACCAATACCAACCCGACGTCAAGCGTGATGCTTGATCAACCACTCGTCAGTGGAGATCGGCAATATCACAATACCGATGAGCCGTACACCCTCCCTGTGCGCATTTGTGATCCTCCCTTGTCCCGATCTCATTTGATCTCTGATTCAGAGCAGTAAAGATGAAATTGAAGACTGGCGGCTGAATGTTCAACACTATGGCATCAAAGATTACTTTGGTGGGAATAACTGTGGCGCCGCTTGGCCGGTTCACCCAAAGAAGATTCTCGAGATCGGCTCTGGTAACGGTGTGTGGGCGAGGGAGGTTTGCGAGCAATTCCCAGAAGCGGAAGTTGTTGGAGTCGACATGATCGATGGAGTAAAGTGAGTCTTGAGATAAACAGCCTATAGTTCTGCAAGCTGACTCGCCTGATATGTAATATTAGGAATAAGCCATCGAACCTCACGTTCCAGCTACTTAACTTCGTAAAAGACGCTTGGCCCTTTGCGCCTGGATCTTTTGACATCGTCCATTGCCGATTCGTAGCGATGCATATCCCGAACTTTGAAAAGCTCCTTGACAAGGCCATCGAGGCAACCGCACCAGGAGGCATTCTTATGTTCGAAGATCAAGACCAGGAATTGCGAGCAGAGGGCAAACCCGTGCCGCACCCAGCCCATCTTGGATTTGCTATCTTTCACGGGTTCTGCGACACCGTCAACGTCAACCCTCGTCCAGGACCGTTGTTTGCGCCCCTCATCATGGCAAGTAGGCAGTTTGCCGAAACCCACGAAACAGTTGTTCCTGCACCAGTGGCTGCCTGGTCCGAGGATAAGAAGTTACATGCCATCGGAGAAAGCATTCGACATGGAATAACCGGCAGCGCGCGAGGTCTTAATGAGAAGCTGTTCCAGTATGGTATGACAAAGGACATCGTCGAGGGAATGATCAAGGAAATAGAGAATCCGAAGAACAAGCTGTACATGGACCAGTACTTCGTCTGGGCAAGGAAGAAACGAAGTTGTCTGTAACCGATTCATGATGTCAGCAACCTGACACTAGTACTGAATACAAAAGTGCCAAGCAATCCAGCCCGATCGATGCATTTGCAACATCTCCGTTTTTTGTACTGGATGTCCATGCTTTTCGGGGCAGGCTTATGGATTTACGTAAGTCCACCGGTTCTTTGTCATGGTCGGTCGGGCACTTCGGGTAAAGCTTATGAGTCTTCGATCCACATGTTATGGTAGCATTAACGATCGAACAAGTAGTCCCGATCACGCACGTCCGTCCACATGGGAGATGGACAGCCCCCGCATCTCCCGAACTTGCGGTTTGTCCCAACTAACACAATACTGTATGTAACTGCTGCCACACGATAACTGTACAATATTATGAGTGGATACCTCTATTTTCCACTCTCATCAATACAGTAGTGTTACTTTCGTGTCTACCCTAGTCGAAATTCAAGTTTCAAGGATTAGTACAGCATTTGCAGTGGGTCAACGCCATGGCGTGAGGACGGCGTGCTTTGTGTATTGTCTCTCCATTACTTATCGGTAGAAGGCCGCATATATAAGTGCATTGGTTTGCCCCGAACGGAAGAACAGACCCAAACAACTTTACCGCAAGACCTTCGCCTTCCTCTGATCAGGAAATCATGACCCACACCCAACCTGAAGCTACCTCGGCACCGAGCGAGACGCCCGGTAAAGCGGTTGTGAATGGAGAGAGGAAATATCACAATACCGATGCACCCTATTCTCTCATGGTCAGTTCCATCATGCACCAGTATACGGTCCTTATTGACCTTTCTCCACAGAGCGGAGTAGATAAACGCGAAGAGGAACGTTTGAACGCCCAGCACTACGGCATTAAAGACTACTTTGGCGGCAACAACTGTGGCGCTCCTTGGCCTGCGCACCCGAAGAAGATCCTCGAGATCGGCTGCGGGCACGGCGTGTGGGCGAGGGAGGTTTGCGAGCAGTTCCCGGAGGCACAAGTCGTCGGGGTTGATATCGTAGACGCGGTAAAGTAAGTCATTAGACTTCCTGGTAATGAAAAGGAAGCTGACCCTTGACGTACGATATAGGAACAGACCTTCGAATTTCTCATTCCAGAGACTCAATGTCATTAAAGACACCTGGCCGTTCCCACTTGGATCCTTCGATATTGTCCACTGTCGCTTCGTTGCACTCCATGTTCAGAACTTCAAGACTTTGGTCGAAAGAGCCATTGAAGCTACTGCACCGGGAGGCATTCTCATGTTCGAGGATCAAGACCAGCAGCTGAGGGCCGATGGAAAGCCTTTGCCATATCCAGCTCATTACGCATTCTCCGTATTTCACAGTTTCGGTCACATGGCCGGTGTGGACTCTTACGCGGCGCCCCTAATTGCACCCATCATCCTTGGCACCAGGCAATTTGACGAGCTTCACCAGGAGATCGTTCCCGCACCAATGGGCCCCTGGACCGATAACCCGAAATTGCACGCCATCGGAGAGGGTATACGGACTGGGTTGATCGAAGGCGCCAAAACTCTCAACCCAGTCCTGTTCGAGTATGGCATGACCCAAGATAACATTGACGGCGTGGTGAAAGCAATGGAGAATTCAGAGCACAGGTTGTACATGGACCAGTATTTCATCTGGGCAAGGAAGAAGTCAAGTCGTTTGTAGCGTTGTTAAAGTCACGTCACCTGTTTAGGAGAGTCTATAATGTGTAATATGAAAGTTGTTACTCAACTGATGATGTCGGACCAGTCTCCTTCGGAGTCCCCTGGCTTACATAAACAAGGAACACAGGCGCGTTCGATCAATCCGCTGTCAACTGTGGTAACGGGCGGTCCGGCTATCCCTGACGTTCCCCTGTCCATGTCTCCACGAATGTTCCCAACAAAAACTTTTGGCTGGTCTAATTGTCCAGGATACTATCTCTCAACTCTGCTTTTCTGTCACTGCATGTCCTGAGCAAGGGCAGTTGCTGACTGTTTGTGAGGTAACGAGAAACAGCACGCCGTCGCACAATCGAGATGTCATACCGCCGTCTAACGAACTTGGAAAGACGGGATATACCGGGGCAATGCAATTGCAAAACACTGCGACGACAATACATTAGGACCTGTGATCGAATCATTATGATACGACCTGGCGGACGAGATCCTTGAACTGAGCGTCGGTGCTGCGGGCCCCGCCTGACTAGAGCGAAGTTTGTCCGCAACTATATAGTTGTGCGCTTATTTGGCTGTAACTTGGGTGACATTTCAACTAGAAGCAAGCACAAGCCTCGGCGTCGGGTATTGCGTTACAGAGGATTCTTAGGTAAGTTGTACAACTTCACGGACACACTAATTAATTACTGTTAGCTTGAGGCCCTGCCATGTTGAATTGCGGATAGACACCCGAGACTGCGGCGCATTGACGATCTGTTTTACTTAATTCCGCATGAATGGCGTCTCCCTGAAAATACCAATCCGGCGTATGCTTTGCTGATCGGGGATTTATGCTGAACAGCCCCAAAATCCTGATTCAGAACCCTACATGTTTTGGGACTCCTGAAATTCATAAATTGAGGCGTTGATATCGTTCTGGCGGATGAGACCGGTTCCATCATTTTCTATTGTGCGTTTTTTTACCTGTCAGCAATATATCCGTTCTTACCGGCGTCTTAGAGCACTTGAGGCACCACAGTTCTAATATAATCACCTGTTCTTGTTGACGTTTGTTACTATGTCTCCAACAAGCAAGATGCCTCAGAAACCGATCGCTAACGGTCATACGCTATATCCCGGGGCAGACGTGGAATATACTCTTCCTGTGTGAGTCCCTAGCACCGTTTCGGTAGCAGGAGCTCAAAGTGGTACGCACTTTAGAGCAATAATAATGAAAGTGAAGACCGGCGGTTGAATGTTCAACACTACAGCATCAAAGAATATTTCGGTGGAAACAACTGCGGTGCTCCTTGGCCGTCACACCCGAAGAAGATCCTGGAGATCGGCTGCGGGAACGGTGTGTGGGCGAGAGAGGCCTGCGAGCAATTCCCAGAGGCAGAGATTGTTGGGATCGACATCATAGACGGAATGAAGTGAGTTAGCCGATGTCCCGGGCGTGCATAATCTGACCCGTTTCACATCGGCGATGTAGGAACAAGCCATCGAACTTCACATTCCAATTTCTCAACTTCGTCAGAGACCCCTGGCCTTTCCCCCCCGGTTCTTTCGACATTGTTCATTGCCGATTCATCGCAATGCATATCCCGAATTTCCCAAAGCTGCTCCAGCATGCGATCGACGCAACGGCACCTGGAGGCATCCTCATGTTCGAAGATGAACACCAGCAATGGAAAGTAGAAGGCAAGCCTGTGCCGCACGGGGCCCATTTTGGGTTTACCGTCTTTCACGGATACCTCGAGACGGTCGGTGTCAACCCTCGGCCTGGGTCCCAGTTTGCATCGCTCATCATCGCCAGTGGCAAGTTTTCTCAGACATGCGGAACGGTTGTCCCGGTACCCATGGGCCCTTGGACGGAGGATAAGAACCTACATGTCATTGGAGAAGGCATTCGAAGTGGGCTGATTCAGGCCGCACGAGGTCTTAACAAGAAGCTCTACGAATATGGAGTGACAGATGCCATCGTCGAAGGACTAGTCAGTGATCTGGAGAATTCGGAGAACAAGCTGTATATGGACATATACTTCGTGTGGGCGAAGAAGAAGCCAAGTCGGATGTAAGGCAGGTAGGGGGTTGTGAAGTTGTATGCAGCCCATCTAGGAGAGTTAGATGGTTGTGCGTGCTTGCAAATTAAATGACCATTTGTTCTTGGAACTCCGCACCATCCATTTGCGCGCCTGTTCAGATAAAGAAACGGGAAGCATTTGGCTGCATCGTGGTGGCTGCATGGTTGGCATGCTACTTCGTTTCGACCGTTCGATTTCGGCGTCCACGATGGAACCGGGGCCTGAGGACCGACAAAAGAATGAAAGTCCTGACAGTACTCCGCAAAATAACCAGAAGGATTGAGAATCTCGGACCGCGGGGACTCCATATTCCCTCCCGGTGCGTAATCTTGTTTCCCTAAGATGCATTATGGGCTGATCCTAGGATTAGGCTGCAGGGACTGACCAAGACGAACGACATCGGTTAAACGCGCAACACTACGGTATCAAGGCATACTTTGGTGGAAACCATCATAGTGCTCACTGGCCAGCCAATCCGAGGAAGATCCTTGACATCGGGGTCGGAACAGGGGCATGGGCGACTGAGATTGCTGAAGAATTCCCTATGGCGGAGGTCGTAGGAGTCGACATCACTGAACCTTATCTGGGGTGAGCTCAACAGGCATAGTGCGGTTGGAAATCGCCTCACTCTGATATACCAGGAAGATACCGCCAAACTTCACGTTTAAGTGCCTCAACGTCCTCACAGATCCGTGGTCGTTAGCAACTGGTACATTTGATGTCGTCAACTGTCGATTTCCCTTAATGCATGTGCCGAACTTCGGGACTGTACTTGATAAAGCCATAGAGGTGGTAGCTCCTAGAGGGATCTTGATGGTCGCCGACCCAACCACCCGGTTTGATGCGGAAGACAAATAGGTCCCCTTGAAGGCATCCCGGTTTTTCGACGTATATTGGAGCTATTGCAAGACTAGAGGAGTGTTGCCTGGCACAGGGCCGCTGCTAGCCCCTCGTATTTCAGCAAGCAAGAAATTCAGCGAGGTGCATGAGCTTGTTGTACCGGCGTGTATGAGCCCTTGGCCTAAGGATGAAAGATTGCATGCTATCGGGGAGGGAATGCGTACGGGCATGATTGCAGCTGCTCGTTCTTTTATTGTCAAATTACAGGAATTCGGCCTTACGAACGAAATCGTTGAGGACATGATTGAAGAGGCGCTCAATCCGGATAACAAAATGTATGTCGATCTGTACTTTGTATGGGCGAGAAAGAAGGTGTACAACTTGTAAATGATCGATAAATAATGAAATTCGCTTGTGCAAGCTGCTAGAGCGTCAAGATTCTTTCTCGTAGTCTCGAAGTAGTATCATGCATTGAGTTGAGGATAGCAGTGGTTGCACATGTACCACATGGCGCCTCCTCGTCTTCTCTCTCAGAGCACCTCGACGTAGAAATAGGCAGGCTTGTGTCAACATACGACCGCGGCAAGCTTCGAGACTGGGTAGAATGCCTGGTACATAATAGCAAGAGGGATCGTGGATGTTAGGATTGTTGTCCGCCACAAGCACCCTTACAACGACCACCAGTTCACTATAAAAACAATGATGATTCGAATACATTCCATCTAATAACAGCAATGTCTTCTTACTCTAAAAGCAAGCTCAAGGCAGCAAGAGATGCAATACAGAAAAAGGATTGGACGACAGCAAAGTCGGCAGCATCCCAGGTGTTGGAATACGAAGCAGAGAACTACAATGCGTGAGTATCCTGTGTTTGAAAGGTACCTAGTTACAGTTAACAATATAGAACAGTCTTGTTTTTCTTGGATTAGCTTGTTTAGAATTGGGAGAGGTAGATGATGCTGTAAAGGTGCGTTACTTTTCTTTAATCGTATCAAATCACTCAGTTGACGCCAGACGTACGAACGAGCCATCAACATCCAACCCGCCAATCCTTTGGCTCAACAAGGCCTCTCGAAGTTATATGAACGCACCTGCAACTATGCTGCCCACCGCACTTCACTCCTCCAACTCATCAAACTCTTCACTGCTTCAGGCGACGCACAACGATGTGCCGAGTCACTACAGCGGCTCTTGGAGCTTAGTCGCGAAAGGGGCACCAGGAAGGATGTGATTGACACGCTCTCGCTACTGCTTCCCACAAGCCAGTGCTATGCGACCTTGTGCGACCTTCCCCATCCCGAACCTACAGCTCCCACTGCCTCGACCGTGCATCAGATCCAGCTCGCCCTAGCAAGCAGCCTCCCTACACTTGAAGAAGTCGTTCGTCTGAGTGAGAATGAGGAAGAGGAGCATGTGAAGAAAGAGGTGGACAAACGCCGCATGCGTCTGGGAGCCGGGAGTGTGGACGAGATACACCGAACGGTTCGTCGGGAGGTGGGGGAGGGATCACGCTTGCCCGAGTTGTACGGGGAGGTGCTGAACCATCCGAATGCGTCGGACGATCTAAGACGAGAAACAGAGAGGAAGCTTTTCCGACTGAAGCTTGCTGCATTGGAGTTTGCAAGCAAGGAGGAGAAGGGGAAGCTGAGGGATGTGCTCATAGAGATGGCCCGTGGGCAGGTCTTGCTCGGCATTCCGGATGAGCTGGCCTGGAGCGTGTGGGTGGAGTGGAGGGACGCCGGCGCGTTGGAGGACTACGACTGGGCGTTATTGAGGCGATGGAGAACAATCTTTCCCGATAGCGCGTTGGGAACGGTTGTGAAGGGATACTTTCTGTACATGGGCATCCAATTGCTGGAAGAGGAGGAGGAAGAAGAAGAGAACGGACACGCGCAGGAAGACGAGGAAGACGGCTATGACATCCTACTTGTGCGCTCTACCCTATGTTGCAATGAAGTGTTGATTAATATTCTTACTCGGAACGCAGGAGGCCGCAGAGTCTTGCCAGAACAGCATACTCACCCACCGAATGCTGGCAGAAGTCCAGAGGCTGCAAGAAGACTGGCCCGGCTTGATTAGGACATCGGAAGCCGGGCTAGCGTTAGTTCAACGGCATGAAAAACAGACGGGACAATCTCTCCATTTGTGCGTTTTCGTCGCTTTCGTAGCCTTGAACTAATCCATTGACATACCGGCACACAGGGTCAACCGATCACTCAACACCGAGCTCGCAACAGGTCTCGTACACTTGCATCCACCAAAGCATCACCCTCGCGCACTCCGCCTTCTGGACCAAGTCCTGTCTGAAGATCCGAATTTAGTCCCGGCCCTCATGGGTCGGGGGTATATATTCCAAGCGTTAGGCAAGTGGGGTGAAGCTGCGATCGTTTTTGGGAAGGTTGTGGGCACCGAGCACAGCAAACGGGAAGAGGGGAAGAAGGCGCCAGAGAAGGTAGAAGAAAGTGAAGATGCAGATCAGCCCATAGAAGTGGTGGAGTTGGAGGCACGGGAAGAAAGGGCGTGGTGCTGGGTTCGGAACGGCCTAGATGAGAAAGGCGAATCCGGGCTACGTGACTCCGTGTCTCTGTGGGATATCTCCCCGCATACTGGCATCCAAAGACAACGAGCGCGCGCATGGTGGCGCCTTGGTCGGTGTCTCTGGGAAGTAGGAGGGAGGTACGAAGAAGCCTACAAGGCATTCATCACCTCCCTCAAGCGACTCACCTCCTTCGCACCCGCATTCACAAGTCTGGGAATCTACTATTCCGACGTTGCCCAGCCGCCAGATCCGCAAAGGGCGAGCAAGTGTTTCCAGAAGGCATTCGAGCTTGACGCCCGCGAGGGAGACGCGGCACGCAGGCTTGCTGAGGGATTCGCCGAGGAGGGCGAGTGGGATCTGACAGAAGTTGTCGCGCGGCGGACGATCGAGGGCGAGGGCGGCCTTGAGCAAGGTGAAAGCCTCGTCCAGGGTGCTGTGGCTGCCCGTCGGCACCTACCGCAGAATGCCTGGGCATGGAAGGCGCTGGGTGCTGTGGAGTTGCAGAGACGTAGCTTTGCCCCAGCGATCCAGGCATTTCAAATCGCCCTCCGGGCTGAGCCTGACGACGCCGGCTCGTGGCTCCGGCTTGGGGAAGCTTATGCCCGCTCTGGAAGGCAGGTAGCAGCGATTAAAGCCCTCAACCGGGCGCAACAATTGGATTCGGACAACTGGGTCTGTGCGTTCCTCCTTGCCGAAGTCGAATGCGAAATTGGGCGCTTCGACGCTGCTATAGCTGTATTTGAAGACATCTCTCAGAAGCGACCTGACGATGCGGGCGTCCTCAGTGCTTTGGGCTCGGCGTACCTTGCATACGGACGAGCACAGGTGATTGGAGGCTATCTGGGCAGGTCAGAAGGTAGCTTCTGGCAAGCATTAGAAGTCGCCAGAAGGCTCCTCGCCGGGGAAAGCAATTTCCGTCGCTTGGGATGGAAGACCCTGTGCGATGCTTTGTTCGAGCTCGGCATATGCACCTCGTTTGAGCACACGGAAGAGGCGTACCACGTTCTGCGAGAAATAGAAAGTATGCTCCTGGGGAACGAGGTTGGTAAAGGCGCCATACTCGGTAGTTTGCTCACCACGGCAAGCGTTACCAAAACGCTGGGCGAAGGTACCGACGGGCTGGTCGCGCTGAAACTTTCTCTGTTAGGCTGCGAGCACCGAGTTGCTCTGACGAAGTTTGACAACACAGGGCTCAGCAGCGCCTGGTTCGACTTGGCCACTGGGCTGCATAAGCTCGTCTCTCTTCTTCCGATCACCGATAATGCAGAACCATATCTCAAGGAATCGCTCAGATGCTGCAAGGAAGCCGTGAAAGCTGACCCGAAAGACCCGCAATACTGGAACGCTCTCGGTGTAATGAGCTTTGAGAAGAATGCAAGGCTGGCACAGTATGCGTTTTTATCTGCCATCCAGATTGACAACAAGGTGCGTCGTGCCGAGTTTCCTTGTTGCAGATCTCACATTCCTGCAGGACCCACTGATTTGGACCAACCTTGGCTTGCTGTACCTCTTCCATCAAGATACGGAACTCGCAAACCAGGCCTTCCTTCGTGCCCAGACACTTGATCCGGATGAGCCGCTTGCCTGGGTCGGACAAGCTCTATTGGCTGCCCAGAATGGCGACGAGGCCGATGCGAGTGCGCTCTTCGAGCATGCTGTCGTGATTTCTTCTGGTTCCATGGTATGTGTGCCCTTCTCTCACCTGAACTTCGCTAAACTAGGTACACAGCTTGAAGCTAGCCATATGTTCGCGACTCGTCTGTTCAACGCTCGGGAGACTGAACAATCTCAATTGCGCACCGACCGCCTCTTCCTCGCTTTCTCCGCTTTAGATCGGTACTGCCGTGAACAGCCGACATCATCCACGGTTCTGCATCTGCATGGCCTGATATGTGAGCAACTCGGTCAAACCGACCTTGCTGAAGGCAGAGTGCGGGATGCGATTGTTCTCCTGGAGAAAGAGTACGAGACGAGCGAAGACAAGGCTATAGAGCGCAGGTATGCTGTTGCGCATAGTAATCTCGGCCGATTGCTAGTCGTGAACGGGAAGTACGAAGAAGCGATACAAGCCTTTGGCACTGCTGTGAACCTCCTGCAAGGTGAAGCCGAGGATGGGGACGAGGAAGTATCGATATTGCAAGCCCAGGCGGCTCTCAGTACTGGCCTAGCCCACTTTCTGGCCAGTGACCTCGAACAGGCGCTCACTGTCCTCGAAGCTGCGCAGGAGCAGGTTCCTGAAGTTTATCCGGAGATCAAAGGGCACATCAGTCTTACGCTCGCGAAAATGCTGTGGGCACTGGGCTCTGAAGAGGCGAGAGAATCGGCGAAGAGCCTGCTCCTAGAATGGTTCGTTCAGTATAAGCTCTTTCTTCCCTCGACTGACTCAAGTGGTAGCATATCCGCGGATCCGCACAATCTGGCGGCCATCACTGCTCTGGCCTCTATCGGTTCCCTGACAGGCGATACCGATCTCCTCACCGCGGCTCTGGCGGAGATCGACATATTGCCCCGGGCCGAAAGGGCTGCGGTCGATCCCAGCGGAGAAGTCGACTTCCTTCTCTCGAGACATCATCTTGCTAATGGTGATATTGATCTGGCTGTCGCCGTAGCTGAGGAAGCGCTTTCCGCGCAGCCGTATTCGCTCGGCGCTAGGCAGAATGTGGCACGACTGTTCCTTATGTCTGGAAATTCACTTACTGCGAGGGACATCTTGCAGAGAGAAGGATTGCCGGAGGATGCTGTCAGCCGTAGGCTGTCAGCGCTGATTGACTTGGCGCTGAAGGAAAGAGGAGAACTGGATCTGGAAGAGGTCGAGGTGAATGGTAATGAGGGAACTGCAGAAGACGTACCGGAGGCGAGAAAGAAGATCGACCCGAGTGATGACGCTCAGCGAGCAGTGTTAGCGGCGCCCTGGGACACTTCTAATTGGGGCACTGCCGTCCTTTGTAGTAAAGCGTAATGATCATATTGTAATATTTTATTTTCATTTTACGCTTCCTCCGCGGTATGTACGAAGTCTTTATGTCAACTTTTACCTTCGGACAGTCAGTGGTGAACAAAGTGCCGCGCCTTCCGCGGCTTTCCGCAGATCCCTTGTTGAAGTTGAAATAAAGTGCACGGACGTCGTCCAGCACCCGCCGCACCTTCCCCCTTCCTCTGCATCGCTTGACTCTTATACCGTATCTCTTGTTGGCTTGCAGAAAGAGTATTAGCATGACTAGCTGTCTGGCGAGTTGCTCTAAGCGCCTGGCTCAGAGTGGGGAAGGCAGGAGAGGAATGGCAATATTGATGGGACGAAAACCGTGAGTTCCGACGATCAGGAGCAGTGTTCAGGCGCTAACATGTTGATAGACCAACGGGTATGCTAGTTCAGTATGTCGGGAATGAAAGGAAGAGTAAAGTTATCCGCAGCCATCGTAATGATGAATATGGGCGGGCCATCAACCGTGCGTATTCACTAGGCAACCCTTCCGGCGCCCACTAACACCCGGTCAGTTACCAGAAGTGCACGAATTCCTTTCCCGCCTTTTCCACGACCGCGACCTCATCCCTCTTCCATTGCAAAGCCTCATCGCCCCCTGGATAGCAAAACGGCGCACACCCCAGATAGAGAAACAGTACGCTGCGATCGGCGGTGGGTCGCCCATCCTCCGGTGGACGAGGCATCAAGGACAGGCGATGATCCCCCTTCTGGACGAGCTAAGCCCGGAAACGGCACCGCATAAGGCGTATGTCGCATTCCGGTATGCGAGGCCGTATACTGAGGACTGTATGGATGAGATGCGCCGGGACGGTGTGACCCGCGCGGTCGCATTCACGCAGTACCCGCAGTATTCGTGTTCCACTACTGGGAGCAGCCTGAATGAGGTCTGGCGCTGGGCGACGGGGGTGAAGAGTAGGCCGAAAGTGGGGGACGAGGATGTGCAAATGGGGATGCCCGGTGTGGAGTGGAGCGTTATCGATCGTTGGTTCGCCCACCCCGGTTTGGTAGAAGTACGTTTCCCCTCTGCTTCGCCTACACTAGCTGACGAAAGCAGGCATTCGCACGCAACATCGAAACTGCGTTGGAACACTACGATCCCTCAACGCGTGACTCGGTCGTGCTCCTCTTCTCTGCCCACTCCCTCCCCATGTCCGTTGTGAACCGGGGCGACCCATACGTGCTCGAAGTCTCTTCCACAGTAAGCGCGGTCATGCACCGCCTAGGGAACCGAAATCCCTACAGGCTGGTATGGCAGAGTCAGGTCGGGCCTAGCGCGTGGATGGGACCGCAGACGAATGATGCGCTCAAGGGACTTGCTAGGCTAGGGAAGAAGAAGGTGTGCCTGGTGCCGATCGCGTTTACCAGTGATCATATAGAGACGCTGTTTGAGCTGGATCACGAGTATGCGGAGGAAGCGAAGCAGGTACGAGTTACTCCAGTTTTGGGGATGTGCGCTGATGACCTCTGTAGCTCGGAATCGATATCACCCGCGCCGAGTCGCTCAACGGCTCCCCCGTGTTTGCCCGTGCGATAGCAGATATCGCTGCTGCGCATCTGAAGGAAGTGAAGCGGACGGGACAGCATGCGAGTGTGCAGATGGGACTTCGTTGCCCCGGGTGCAAGTTTGAGCATTGTGGGAAGCAGAAGGAGTGGTTTGCTAATGGTGGGCGGTAACCTGCCCGATAGTTGGGGATAGCCAGATAAATGCGATGGTTCGCGTAGGGGTATTTGATAGCGAAATCGACGTCTAAGGCTACAATCATCCAGTGATTACATAACGATGCCCAGAGAAAAGAAGAGAGAGATGAAGGTGTTGCCGTGCAAGATGTTAATCCGAGCTGCGCCTATGTGTGTCGTTCATCTACATAAGCCGAATAAGCGTCAACCATATCCTCGAATAGTTACAACATACATCCAGTATCATGGCGCCCATCCGCACTACCGGCAACTCCATCCCCGCTACCCAAAGGCGCTAGCATACTCGGCGTAAGCGCAAAGTCAAAAAAAGCCTTCACCTGGCGAGGGTTCGCGCTTGGGCCAATACGCACTATTGGTCCGGGAGAGAGGAAGGGGAGGGAATCGAATGGGAATGGGGGAGAGAGGGAGGGGCATGGACCTCGAGTTGGTAGGAAGGAGGAGGACGATGTCGTTGTCGTTGTCGACGCTGATGACAATGCTGACAATGCCGACGACGACGCTGAGGAGGAGGAAGAGGAGGAGGCAGTGGAGGAGGAGCTGTGTGCGCGCCGGGGTTGCGGTCGGGAGTGAGAGTGCGCGTGGGTGTGCAGAGGTTTTGCCCTGGGAGTGCCTAAAGTGCTTTCTGCCCTCAGGAAACGGGGTGTTGCCGGGTAGGCTGCGGAGAAGGAGGCCCCTGCGGGGCTGGAGGGTACCGAAGTGGCTAGGGGTTGTGCGACGGACATCGGTCGTTGGCCCTTGGTTGTTTGTTGTTGGATAGGTGCGGGGGGAGACGCTGGGCCATGTTGAAAAAGAGTGGGTTTAAGTGTGCAGAGATGTTGGGAGACATGGGATGTCAGTATTCCTGTTTCTTCTGACACTTGCGAGGCTGGGCTAGACCACTAGAGCACCGCGTGTCCTCGGATGTGCTTGTGGGCATCCCCTACTTTGACCAGGGGAAGGGGACGACCAAGGTGGGACGATCCGCCTACAAAGCGAGAAGATGGTCGCCAGAAGAGGGGGGACGGAGAGGTACTTCAGACTCGGGGTACTCCGGTGTTCCCGAGCTGTGCACCGCCCGGTATTAGCAGAGATAAGTTGAGCTGCGGGGGATGGGAACGCTGGGAACAGTGGCTTGCGGAGTAGGGGACGGGACATTCCTCGCTCAAGCAGAGATGTGCGTATTACATGTGAACGCAATGTGATTGCCGGATACGTATCAATAGGATGTGTCGGTCCCCAGAAGTTTCGGTTCGTTTCAGCCAGCAAGGAGATATCAGGAGTTACCCAGGGTATTGAGGATATTAGGGCACTGAAGCAGATTATTGCATTCCAAAAGCAGGCATTTCCAGTTCAGTAATGCGATAGAAATTCCCATTGCATTTCAGCATAGATGACCACTGGGTATTCCACATTCCTCGTTGATGGATGTTGTGGAGAAAAAGAAGAAGAAAGTTGACCCTGACCTACTCATGAGCTGGCTAGTGTCACGTGATGCGACGCGCTCTCTCATTGCGTTTCATTGGACGGAAGCAAAACGCGTTCAGTTCGGATATCACAATTATTCCGTGATGATTCCGCGATATATAACACAAGTCTTGTCAACAGCGAATGACCTCTTCCTCGACTTGCTCACCGACGACGACGACGAGGACAACTGGAGAAGTCGACTAGCAATTGCGATACCTCTTTTCACAACGACGACGACGAAGATCACCCACCACCGACAACAACGAGATGGCTCTAGGCAAGCGTTCCCGAACTCTCCCAACACTGAGCAACAACAAGCTCCCCTCACTTACCGTTCCACATCCTAAACGCGCGCGCACCTCTCTCTCGCCCTTGACGGACTGCGACCCCTACTCGAATAAGGAGAACATCCCTCCCTCCCCCTGTCCTTCATCTCCCATACCAAGCGTCGTCAGCCTACATGATGAGCTCGACATGGACACCCGCGTGACCCGCAGTCGCGCGCGCTCTAGCACACCGAGAATAGAACGATTGCCCAGCACTCGTAGGATGCCGCGGAGAGCTGATCCAGCACCAGAGAAAACCAGCACGCGTCGCACAACACGTTTGACTATCCCTGTTCTCGCGCCTACACCACCGCTCACCCCGGAGTCGGAAGGCGACTCGTTCGATGCACCCTTGCTCACTCCTTCTCTCGACATGGGCCGCCTGATACTCGGAGATGAGGACATCAAGTGCCCGTCTCCGACATCGAACGCGTACGTCACTGCCCGTGGTGCGCTCAAAGCACCTCCTTCAGACCTTGCCGGTCGGGAAGACCAGAGAATCGAGTTACTCGCGTTTCTCTCTCCATTTCTTTCTGGATTGAATGAGGACGATGACAGCAGGGTAATGTACATCTCCGGCACGCCTGGCACTGGGAAGACCGCCCTGGTTAAGAAAATGCTCTCTGAAATCAAGGCAGATGGGGTGAGAACGGGGATGATCAACTGTATGGGACTCGCCAGTGCGAAAGAGGTGTGGGACACCGCGTGGGGCACCATGGAAGCAGAGAAGGTGAAAGATTCGAAGATGAGCTTGGAGAAACTACTTGAGGAAGGTGATAAGTTGTATGTCTCCATCTTACTCCGTCATAAACTACCCTGACACCGCACAGCGTCTTGGTGCTCGACGAGATCGACACGCTCCTCCGCCTTCCCAGCGTCCTCTCCACCATCCTTAACCTCCCCTCGCAGCATCCGAACCTATGCTTGCTCACTATCGCAAACTCGCTCTCTCTCCCGTCTCAACTGCCTGCGTCCATCTCCCTCACCCAAGTCAGCTTCGCACCATATACGTGGGAACAAATGACTGCTATCGTCAAGTGCAAGCTCCCCAGCGAGTGCACGGTCATAGACGAAAAGGCCCTCGAGCTCGCTGCGCGGCGTGTGGGAGGGCGGACAGGGGATCTGCGTGTGCTGGTGGAAGTGTTGCGGAAGGCACTTGATGCCGCAGAGAAAGACTGGAAGAAACGCACTGCTGAGAACCCGTTCATCGCGTGCGATCTGGTCAAGGTTAGCCCCGCGCATATCCTCGCCGCTATCAAGACTGTCACTTTCCCATCGAGTTCTACTGCCTCCTCAGCGCCTTCCGCCAGCAGCCCAACAACTGTGCTCATCCGTACCCTACCCGTGCAAACACGTCTCATCCTTCTCGCCCTGCTTGTTGCCTCCTACCGAACCTCTCTCGGACTCCCGCTCACCTCTGTCCCGTCCTTCGGTACTGCGGCCAAGTCCAAGTCCACTGCCCCGACCCCAACCCAGCTCTTCGCGAGCTACTCTGCCCTGCTATCGAAATACGGCGGCACTCTTCCTCCGGCTCTTGGGTCGAGCGACTTCCACGATGTGCTCAATATGCTTGAAGCCTCTTCTCTCGTCAGCTATGCCTCTTCCACAGGCCCGAAAAAGCGCACAACTGCGCTGCGCTGCGTCACTCTCGTCCCTCAGGAGGAGGAAGTGAGGCGGGCGATGTTCCTCGGACTTGACCAGAGTGCAGAAGGGGTTGAAGAGGCGCTCAAAAGTGCGTGGACGAAAGTGTGCAAGGATGCAAGGAATGAGGTTGTCAGGAGGGGAAAGAAGGCAGAGAGGGAGGCGAATGAGTGCCCTCTGGAAGAGCGACTCTAGCAGCATCTCAAGTCGAGTCAAGTACCGACGATCATGAACATCAAACATATTTATCGGACCCCGGCTTTCCTCAACCTTTTGCCAATCCGAAAAACATACATTTGTGTATTCCTACTATCACCTTTGTCCCTCCCTTCCCTGCCTGCCTGTGTATCTTTATTCGCTCGACCAGGAGGTGTCGATTTTCCTTAGAGTTCTTATTCCCTACAACGAGATTCCGTCGTTTCAGATTCGAGTATATGTAGTTTGGCGACCGAGAGGCGCTGTGGATACTGCGTGTTATAGTACATAAAAGAGCAATATCAGTTTATATCAGTTGACCTGCTGTGCTTCGTCTCTACGGCTCATCTCTTTCGCTCTTACCACCATCTTACCCGCGTTTGGCCAATGGGGAGACAGGAAGGGAGTACGCTTGTTCTACTGAATGTAGACTCTTTCTCCTACTAGGCTCCGGCTAGAATGCGCCTGCTGTTGTTGTCATGCTTGCTACTGCTTTTCTCCTCATCAAGCCGTCTAGCGAGCTGCGCTCGTGTGAGAATCCACCAACAACGACCGCCAGTTGGGGGATAGAACCAGCTGCTACATACCTCTGAAAAATTTTTTGGAGTAGTACCATGAAGTTAGAAAATGAGGGGTTGATCATGGCAGGGCGTGTAACTCAGGGGTAGAGTGCTTGCTTCGCATACCCTGCGTGCATGAAGTCGTGCGTTCGATTCGCACCTCGTCCATTTTTTTTTACAAATCCCTCATGTGCCTTTCTCCTGAGGCAGGGTCAGGTACCTTGCAAAGGTACACACAACTTCCACAACTTCACATTCCTGGTTTAAATGAATGTGCCATCATGTATTTGCATCATTTTTGGGTTTGGATTCATAATAAAAGTAATTTGGTGTAAAAGTAATTTTGTCTTGAATGAACAGCACAGGGCAGTCAGTTATCATGGTTGAATTACTCAGCTGGCCTATCTTTGCCAAAAAGAGCAGAACCACAGAACCATGCAAGAAGACCTTCCTGTTTAGGTATAGCATGAAGCAGCACAAGGAACATATCAGCTTTCCACTGTGCTCATTATACAAAAGCTGTGCTAGCTTGGCAGAAGATTGCTAATGCTCACATCAGAGCAGTTTGGCATCACTGAAAGGGCTTATGATGTCCTTTCACTCCCAATAGGTACACTGAATCAATGTATTACACTAACTAGTAGTAATACAACATGAGTGTACTAAGAGAGATAGAGAAAAGGGTGGCCTACAGCCACCCACTATGTGTAAGTTCATTGGATGATCTGATCACCCTAGAGGCAGTGTTACCATATATGGTAAGTATGGGGATATCTACATATCCCTTACACCCCCCCCCCATTCAGAGAGGAGGAGGCTATGACTCAGAGACCTTCATTGTATCTGTCACAGTCATCAGAACTGTAATTGAGAGAGACATCCTTCTCAGAAGGGACATCAACATGCAATGGCCCTGGAATAGCAGGGGCACATTCATCACTCCAGAGGAAACCTTCCGGTTTCAAACCCAAGGGAGGGAGATCCACCTGGGGAGGTGGAACAATTGAAGATTGATACACCTGCATCCAGAGTGAGTTGTTCAGGGAATTGAAGGCCAGAAGTGCCTTTGCTGCATCCTTGTCAAGGATGTGCTCATGGAAGGTGCCACCAACGTGCTGTGCCTTCCTGGCCCTATGGCCAAAGTAGCCAACCCATGCGGCTAGTTTCCCTCCTTGCAGCCCACTGGCTGCAAACTCATGCATGATGGCAATGATGTCCCAGGTGCGCTGGCCATTGACAATGCAAAGTGCATGCTGGAAGCACGCAGACATGCTCCAATGGGGCACAGGGAGCTCAGGGATTTTTGCTGCATGGGCAAGGTCCTTGAAGCGATCTTCAGAGGAGAAGAGGTCTGTGCAGACCTTGTAGAATGCATTTGCATCTCTGTGAATGAATAATTTGTTATCATGGTGGGGACAATGATCTTTCAAGAACTTCCAGAGATGGAGGTCCAGGATGTAGTAGTGTCCATCCCATGAGCAGTGAACACCTGCCCCCTTATTGGCATGAGGGTTTATTTCGGTCCCAATTTGACCAAGCATCTTGTTGAACTTGGACCAGAGTAGTCCAAACAGAGACCATAATGGGGTCAGACGGCCCAGTAGGTGTCCACTGTCTCCAGGCACCTTGCCCAGTGAGGTGGATCATGCTCACGGATAGCACCTAAGTGTCTGGGAGTCAAGATGTACTCCCAAGGGTTCTCCTTATCATAAGGAGGGATGTGGCAGGCATTTGCCACCAGTAATCACAATGCCCATAGGGGCAAATTGCAGCGGCAAGGTATATGCCATCTCATCCTTTTGACTGGATGATTTGCCAGACAAGCTGGCAACCACTGCACTGTACATCTTGCCAATGGCAGAGACACAGGAGGAGGATGTGGCAGTCATGAGAGACTGCATCTTCTGCAGGTGTGCAGATGGGAGCTCCTCCATGGCAGGACATTTACCAAGGGCGAGAGCAGAGGCCTTCACGACAGGAGGAACCCTTGCAATGGTGGGGACCTTCGCAACAGCAGAGGTCATCAGGGCAGCTGCTGGGGCCTCCTCAATGGGGTTGACATCCATTGGGATGTTGTATAACTCATCTGCCTCTCATGAGGCAGAAGGGGGAGCTGCCTTGCAAGTGGCGGAAGGGAGAGGAGCATGGGGAGGGGGAGGGGGAGGGGGAGGGGCACTGTTGAAAGCAGACAGCTTGCCCTTCAGCCTATTGTTCTCAGAATGATGTTCATTGCATTTGATGCAATAACAGGAGACATCTTCCTTCAGATGACTGATCTGGTCAGTGAGAGCATCACTCTCATCCTGATGATGGGAACCCTGGATCTCCACATCTCCCTGAGCATGGAGGAGCATATTGTGCGGGTTGGAGAGCAACCACTGGGCTTTGTCCATCCTGGACAACATGTGAGCATTCTCATCAAGAGAACGAGTGAGATTTTTGTTGCTTGTCTTGAGGGAGTCCTCCAGATGAGCAATGCATGACTGAAAGTCACGCTTGAGATTATGAATCTCATCTGCATGTTCCTCATGCTTGCCCCAAAGGTGATTGAGCTCCTGCTCCATGTCTCGTAACTTGACATGATTATATACCAGCTCATCAGCGAGCTTTTCTTGGCCACAAATGGCCAATTCCGTGTTCTGCATTGGATAGAGTGTGAGCCAAGGGTATGGCTCCCAACTTTCCATGCACAAGTCATGGTAATGTGTGTCACTTGGCCTGCAAGTGAAATCTGGAGTGGGGGGACATGAGTACTCATCCTTGGACATCCAGGGAGAGATGTCACCATAACGGTTGTTGGAAGAACCATAATGCTCACCCTGATGGGCGTGATGTTGATAGCTGCCAGAGACAGCATTGTTGTTATGGGCCCCATCCCAAGGAAGGGGAGCGGGAGGCCCTGGGGCAGCCAAGATGGCCCCAAAATGAAATTCCAATTTTTGTTGTTGCCAATGATGATCATTGATCAGCTTGACAAACTGCTCTCCATCTGGAGCATCACCAAATATGGTGTCTGGATATCTTCCTGGGAAGAGTCAATCATCTCCACAGACATAAGGCTGTAACAGGCTAGTGTGGAATACAGGATGTATTCCACATCTTCACATACTCTCTGAGAGAGCTAACAGACAATTATCTGTGTCTGTAACTTTCTCAATGAGAAAGGGCCCCACAAATTGGGGCATAAGTTTAACTGCATGATTCTTAAAAATCACCAAGTTACAAGTAGAAAGGAAGACTAAGTCTCCTTTCTCATATACAGGCGAAGCCTGTCTATGCTTGTTTGCATGGAAAGCCTGCTCAACATGGGCTTCTATTATTGCATCTGTCGCAATATGGACCGCATATTGTGCCTCATGCATGAATTGGTCCACACCTTGATACTCCAATTCAGAGTGTTTGACCAGGCATGTCAACAACAGAAGATGTCTGTAGTTCAGTTTGAATGGACTGAAGCCAGTGCTAGCCGAGATGCTAGCATTGATTGCATATTCTACCATGGGTAGATGTGAGCACCAGTTAGACTGGTCATCTGCTACTGTTATACATAGCATTTGACTTACTGAGCATATCATATGCTCAGTCATTTCATCCATTTGTGGGTGGAACACAGTCGACATCAATAATGTCATGCCCATCTGCCTATGCAGTGCCTGCCAAAACATGGCAGTAAACTTCAAGTCTCTGTCTGAGACTATGCTGGCTGGGAGGCTGTGCAAATGTATGACCTCTCATACAAATATCTGGGTGACATCCACAGAGGATGACATTGTAAGGAGTGGTACTAAGTGTACCATAGCTGTAAGGCAACAAATGATTACCAAGAGGTAATCATATCCTTTGGACAGAGGGAGAGGACCCATAAAGTCCATGGCAATGGAGCTCCAAGGAGCTCCAGGGATTTCAAGCGAATGGAGAAGTCCACTAGGCTTCTCTGTGCTGTCTTTTGCCTTCTGGCAATGCAGACATGCTTTGCAAAGATGCTTCGCATCTTTACCCATGCTATACCACCAGAATTGGTGTTTTAGGAAGGCAACTGTCTTCCTATTGCCATAATGGCCAACACTAATGTGAGTGTTAGCCAAAATGAGCAACTGTATCACTTGCCCTTTGTATTGCCTAGTAGGCACATACAAAGCAACACCACCCTGAGGGTGTTGAATGAACAGAAGTTTGTTTTCAATGAACCACATCTTTGAACCTGGCAAAGTTGCCAATGTCTTCTGGTAGAAGGCATCCACTTGATAAGTGTGTTCAATTGCTCATAACAGAGCAAGGTGTCCACATGGCTGGAACTGTAACAGTTCATCACCGCATTTGGAAGACCCAACACTGGGTAGCGTTGTTACTTCCCCTGCAGGGGCAAGTGCTAGAGAGTCAGGCTCCACCTGAATAGTCTCTGCACCAGCTCCCGCAGCAGTAGTAGTGGACACTACCATGTCAGCATGGTTGGTATAACCACCATTGAGTTCAGCACTCTGCTCAACTTGCTGTTCAACTCATCCATGAGGGTGATGAGGTACTTTTCCCTTGTGAGCAGGCAAAGGAGTATTGGGTACTACCCATTCTTGTGGGGGCACTTTCATGCCTTTGAAGCGAGTTGTCATCTGACAAACAGCAACTTCTGGTTGCAACTTCGCAACTTGAGCGTCAGAAAGAGTATTGTACTCTTTGTCCACTAGTGCATCAGCTAGTACTGGATCCCTGAGTGTGACATCCAGTCTGCTATCTTGTTCCTCTCTCCAGGAACTTACAATATCTTTACGATATTGAATCACTGCAAGTATTCCTGCTGGTGAATTACTCTGTCCCCAGCCAGAGTTGCCTTCAATTGAAGGTATTCCAACAGCACATGATCCGTGCATATTGTGATAGGGATACCTATCAATTAGCACTCCCACTTGGTGAGAGCCTCCACCATGGCCAGAAGCTCGTGCTTGTATGTTGAGTACAACATCTGGGCATCCGTAAACTGCCTGGAATGAAATCCAGCCAGGTGGACTTTGTCCCACAATGGCCCTTGGCCATAGTAGCAACCTACCCCACTGGTAGATGCATCACATATGATGAAGACTGGCATCCCATTCTTGGGAACAATGGGCTTCAGAGGCTTCAGGACCAGGTAGTCCATTGCCAGAGCAATTATGCTATTGAAGCACTTCTCATGCATAGGAGTTACATTGTAGCTCCTATTAGAGTGTGTCAATGCTGACAACAGGCCAGTGTATCTAGCTACGTCTGGCAAGTAAGGTGCCAGATATGTTACCATGCCAAGGAAGCATTGCCTTTCTTTGGCATTTGTAGGAAACTTAGCATTCCTAATCACAGACATCTTATCATTGTCTGCTTACACACCATCAACAGTGATCTTGTGTCCTAGACACTCTATGCTGCTTGACAGCAAATCAACCTTATCCAGAGATAAGTAGAGCTTCTGCTCTCTAAGGATTGCAAACACAATCCTTAAATTGGCAAGGGCCTCATACAGCATAGAGCCCATGACAAAAATGTTGTCAAGGTAGCATACTACCTTACACATCCAATGTTCCTGTAGGATGTCCATCATCATTTGTTGGAATGATGCTGGGAGATTACAATTTCCCTGTTGGCCCACTTGGCTCAGGAACGTTCCAAATGGGTTCTGGAACACAGTCTTCCAGACATCATCTGGATGCACTCAAAGCATTTTGAATGTGTTTTGAAGATCCAACTTGGATCAAAATGGGTGTTTTGCAACCCATCTATGGATCTCATCCTGATCTGGCATCAGTGTAATATCCTTCACTGTATTTGAGTTTCTCTCTCAACAGTCCATGGTTGTTTGCAAGTGACCATTATGCTTTGACAGGCACAACATAGGCAATGCCTGTTGCATCTGCGCTGGTACCCACCACTGAGCTGTGGTGTACCACTTAGTCTTCTCATGAAGCTCATCCCTGTGCACTTCAGGGCAAGCAGGACATCTAGTCCTATAAACAGCCTTATCATCAATCAAGTTCATATGATGATTTACCCTCCGCAGAGGGGGGAGCTTTTGTGGGATCTCACCCATGAGATCCTCTATTTCAGACATAAGGCCTTCCCTTATGCCAGCAAGCATTCCTCAGAATAGGAATGCAGACCTTCCCCAGCAATCGCTGGGTTTTTCATCCCAGGTGTTTGCACTGCGAGCACTTGTTTCACACCAGCATTGCTGGAATGTTTCGCCTCTTGAAGAGGGGACAAATCCTTTTTAGAGATACTATTCTGTATCCCATGGGACAATGCCTCTCCTGAGGTGATCCATCTACCTTGAGGTCCCCCAATTTGGAGACCTTTACCTCTGAGATCTAGCATGATCTCGAACTTCTTACCAAAGGGCATACCAAGTATTACTTGGTATTTGTCAGTGTTGACACTGTTGAAATAGTGCTCAACTACTCAATCTTCAATGTCAACTTTGGCATTGATACCATACTGTATTATAGTATGGCTTCCCCTGCTCATCTGTTGCAGGGCAACAGGGTGCTCGAGCTTCACCTATTCCAAGCCATGGGCTTGAACAAAGTCTGCGGAGATTGTGTCAATCTCTGCTCTGCTATCCAGCAAGGCAAACACTGGAAAACCAGCAATGCGGATGTAGCATTCAATGGGAGAGGCAGCTGTCTCATCCCATAGAGGTTGTCCTCTACCTAATTGGCCAGTGCCATCCCTTTGCCATATCTCTGGCTTCACTGTCTTTGTGGTGGCAAATTTTGTCTGAGCTGGTGCAGCTCAAACCATCATTAAGCCAAAGGGCTTAATAGACATAACCTGCACACTCACGGGCTTACTGTTGTCCTCTTTGATGGCATCTATATCATTGATATTGGCCAAATCCTCCACTGGAGGATAATTGGCAACTTCATCAAACAGGTCATATAGACCAAATTCCTCAGCAGAACAATTGTCCTCTTCCTTCTCATCTGGAGGTATCCCAGTGAGTATGGTGTGAACACCATCATCATACAGGACATTGTTGTCTGCCACCACTTCATGTGCAGTGTTGATCCAACCCAAGAGGTGTCCAAAATATCTGTCTGATGGG